CTCTCTCCAGGCTTTCCGAAAAGCCGTTAAAACCTGGCTGTGTGAGCAGGCCTGGGGTTGACGAGTTCCCTTCACCTCTCAAATCATGTGACTGTTGGCTGTTTTTTAAATTCCCCTGTACCTTTTCTGTTGTAGTTTCTTTGTTTACTTCCCCCCTCCCTTTGGGGTTGTGAGCCGCCCTGAGTCCCTCAGGGAATAGGGCGGCATATAAATAAAATGAACCTAAGAACCTAACCTAAGAACCTAAGGTACAGCAGTGGCACTGAGTAAGTTAATGTAGAAGAAGGAGAACCTCCACACCAGTGCAGGTCCTTCTAGGCCAGCTGCTTCAGTCCTGGGTGGCTGAATAGTCAATAGTTCCTTGTCTCAAGCTGTTGCCAATAATCATCAGGTCTGTGTGGAATAAGACTTGACATGGAGTTAAGATGAATGCACAAATCTGGCACATATTATTGAGATTTAGTTTGGGCACTGTGGGAGCCCTGTTGGACATCGATCCTTTTGGGTCTCAGTAGCGCAGCAGCCGTGATGTACAGCTTGGGAAGGAAGGGTGGACATTACTGTACGCAAAACCATTGCAGCTACTGGGAAACGCAGCCCTGGAGGCAGGCTGTTGCAGATGCCTGTGCATAAAATTAAAAATATCAGCTGGGATACGGCGTCACCACGGGCTCGTCTGAAGTACGGTGGCCCTGACATACATAAGAGGGCACACGCTGGACCCGGTGACTTTGCCGATGTTGACTGACATCCTGGTCACTACTATTGTAGAGTATTGCATGCTCAGGGTGTGGCTACCTTTGAAGACAAAGTGCTGATCGTTATCTATAAAGCCCTCTCTGATGCAACATGGGGATGTGTCAGGAGCTACCTTATCAAACATGATTCTGCCCATCCAAATTAATCATCCAGGACAGTGATGCCGAAAAGGGAGCGCACATGCATGCTCATCTGGGATGCGACCCGGAAGAGGAGCTGCCCAGGGGGCATGCGTGTGCCGGAAAATGCACTTCCGGTTTCTGGCGGGGGCATGTGTACTGGCCAGCTAGACTTCCGGTTACTGGCTGGGGCAAATGCTCGTGCCAGAAAACGGAAGACCAGTTCTTCCAGTTTCCGGCACTGCCACAAGCATGTGGGCCAGCTGATCATCGTGCGCACATGCAGGCCAGAAACCCGGAAGAGGAACGGGCGACACTACGCATGACAGACAACTGGGCTCCGCATGCCACTTTGGGCACTCATGCCATAGGTTCACCACCACGGATCTAGGAGAAATCTGCTGAGGGTGCTACCCCAAGTGTGGTATGAGGCTACATGAATAAGAACCTGAATATTTAACGGGTCTAGCTTTTTTATACAAACTCTGTTCATTCAGCAAGACCAACCTGGAGGGCTTGCTGCAAAGTCCCCCCCCCCCAGGTAATCTTGAGAGCAGGGATCCTGAGAGCATCTCTTCCCAGGATCTTATCCCCTCTGAAGTAGACTACTCGAGGAGAGAAAAGTAGTACCTTCCCCTGCTAGCATTTTGGAGGTCTACTAAAACTAGATTTTCTGGAGGTCCTTTAGGGTGTGGATGGTCTTCTGAGGATACAGATAATAAATATAGCTCCAAGGTTTGGTGGGGATACGTTGTGATGTTGGTTGGGATGCATTTACTTTTATCATTGTTGTATTTGTGGCCTTGCTTTTTTTTAAAACTGAACAGTTGGATGTTCATTTCTCAGAGTCTTAAAGATTGGCGCAATAGGCACACAGAAATAAATAGGATGGTCTGATGGCAGATATTTTCAGCAATAGCTTCCATACTGCGCAACACACCACTGGTAAGACATATTTGTCCTAAACCCTCATTCCAGAAGACCACAAGGACTTATTCCAATATATAATTATTGGCCTTTAATAAAATTGAAGATGGCCACTGGCTTAGCGGAATAAGTGTTTTACTAGAAGCAGGATTTTTATTTTCTCCTGTGATTGGGGCGATGTGCAAATATATAAAATAAAGAAACAAATAAATAAATAATCTTATTTTACATTCAAAGAGCTGTGATTCAGGCAAAACAGACTCTGGCCTATCCTTCTACAGGCACACAAAACAAGCATTTTTGCCGTTGTTGTTTTGTGTTGGGTTTTATAGTTTAAAATGCTGTTAGAGCCACCCAGAGTAGATCAGAAGATGGGAAGTGATATAAATATTGTAAGTAAGTAAGTAAGTAAGTAAGTAAGTAAGTAAGTAAGTAAGTAAGTAAGTAAGTAAGTAAATATTTTCTGAGCTGAAATAAATCAATCCCTTTGGAACATTCTGGATGTTACACTGTATAGAAGAGGGGTCGGCAACCTTAAACACTCAAAGACCCACAAAGATCCTAACCGAAAGCCCTATCAAATATGGAGCCGATTGGTGACAGGGAGCTGCAGCAGAGGGCTCCAGAGCTGCAAGTTGCTGATCCCTGGTATAGAACAAGGATGCAAAATAAATCTTTGTTTTCTCCTTTTTTGAACTAGGCTACACAAATAGACCCCTGAATTAAGACAATCAAAATTCCCTTTATCCTGAGCTTGGGAGAGAAACTCCAAAGAAGCTTGAAATTTGCTGCATCTTGAGTTTACAAAAGCTATTTAAGAAGCAACGAATGTAAAAGCTTAGAATTAATACTAGGGAATAAGTGGAAACTGTACACTTGGAAAACAGTCTAATCCAAATGTGAGAGTGCTTAAATGCGTCTCTTGCCCCCTTTATACATACACGTCGACGGGTTCCTGGATGCCTTTGCCATGTAACCCAAGGCCACGCCCTTCTTGCCAACCCATTCTTTGAAGTATTTGGAAGCCAATGTTCTTCTCATTTAGTTTCTTATTATAGAATTCCAAATCCTTTGTTTTCTGTTGCTGACAAATAAAAATAAGATTCAACAGAAGGGAACATAAAAGGAGATGTTAAACACAACCATAAGCAGAGATCTCCCATCTTTGGGAAAGGGGGAAATTGGGACATTTTAAAACCATATGACAGATGGCGAGACAAAATGGCTGATGTGATCTTTACATCATCATCAAATGGGCCACCAATGGATGTGGTCCACCCTAAAACATAAACTTACCTAAAGATAAATCTGGAATGATGCTGTCTTTACATCCTTTCCCTTTAGCCTCCCTAGAAACTCACCATAAAGGTACTCCTCGACTTACGACCAGTCACTTAGCGACCATTCAAATGTACAACTGATCTCTCCAGGGTTACTTATGACCTGGATTCAAAGTTTTGATGGCCTGTCCCTTATGATCATGTGATCAGATTTTTGGCGCTCAGCAACAGGCCTGAATTTACAGCCACATGCAAAAGACTTGTGGTTCTGTTACCATGATTGACAATGGGTCTTTTTGTTTTTTTGCTGCAAACCAGTGTTTACTTTTGATGTCCGGCTGATAGGTGGACTTCTGGGAGTTGGAAGTCCACCTATCTGAAAGTTGCTAAGATTGAGAAAAGCTAAGGGTCCCAGAAATCCTATCCCAAAGAATTGTGTAGAAATGTTTTCCTCCCTTGTGCATTTAAATAGCTCATGTTTCCTTTGTAAGGAATTTAAACCCAGACATTAGTGCTTTATTTTGCTGATGTTGAAATGTATACTTTTCCTGCCCAGGAACTGGCAAAGTGCCGTTTCTGTGCCTCATTTATCAAGGCAAATTGATCAATGAAGTGATCAATGAAAGATCACTAAGAAACTACCTCCCAGGGCTTATGTATCCTGTTTTGCTGAAAATAAGCCCTCCCCGAAAATATTGCAACACAGCAGCAGCCATGAGGTGACCAGGCTCGCCGCCTCCTGCACCTCAAAAATAATAAGACCCAAAATAAGGCCAAGTGCTTATTTCGGTGGGGG